AGCTGGTGGATGCAGTATAATATCCTGGACCTCGGCTGCAGCAACGGTATCAAGATGAACCGCAGCCATGTGGAATTTGTCCAGTTCAGACACGATGCCGGCGAGGTAAAATTGCCCTTCGAGGTGAGCAAACCAGAGCTCGGGACGCTCAGCGGAAAATGGTGCGGAACGAACTCTAAGGCGTCTCAATGCCTGAGTTGTGTCAGCTTCCTCGTCCATTTTCACTGGATGCACTAACAATGGTTGGAAGTGCGCTAATCACGGCAAAATTGTTCGTGATAATTTTCACGGTACAGCAGAACGTCCTGGGTGCTCAGCGATGGACCAAGATGCACAAAAAAAATCACACGCGGTAGCAAACGCACGTGAAACGATAGGAATGCTATCGAGCACTATGCCAAAACCCAACGCTTCTCGAACAATCCACGAAAAACTACGCGACCAAAAATCACTTTAATTTTAACAGGAAACGGCATAACTTTAACGATTGCATTCGTTAACACGTTAATGCGACAATTTTATTCTCTTAGAATTCTTTAATGCCTAAAGGAGGTTAGGCGGTGTTTGAGGTGAATTTGAGAGTCAATTTCTGTGGTTCCCGGTAGCTTAGTCGGTAAGAGTGCCCGGCGCGTATCTGGGAGACCCGGATTCGATTCCCGGCTGGGTGAAGCGGAAATTTTTTCTCTTTAAATTCTAATTCTCTTAGTTTTTTTTTTTTCAATTTATGCAATTTGTAGCATTTTACGCGCATTTTACGCATTCCTTACGACGACTCATCCCACCTTCTAGGGACATTCATGAAATTTATGCAATTTGTAGTATTCTACGCGCATTTTACGCATTCCTTACGACGACTCATCCCACCTTCTAGGGACATTCATGAAATTTATGCAATTTGTAGTATTCTACGCGCATTTTACGCATTCCTTACGACGACTCATCCCACCTTCTAGGGACATTCATGAAATTTATGCAATTTGTAGTATTCTACGCGCATTTTACGCATTCCTTACGACGACTCATCCCACCTTCTAGGGACATTCATGAAATTTATGCAATTTGTAGTATTCTACGCGCATTTTACGCATTCCTTACGACGACTCATCCCACCTTCTAGGGACATTCATGAAATTTATGCAATTTGTAGTATTCTACGCGCATTTTACGCATTCCTTACGACGACTCATCCCACCTTCTAGGGACATTTATGAAATTTATGCAATTTGTAGCGTTTTACGCGCATTTTACGCATTCCTTACGACGACTCATCCCACCTTCTAGGAAACGTCACGTTGAAGGAATCATGTCGGAATCACCATTTGTGGGTATTCGGTCGATGGGTTTTGTAACGTATAACACACGAAATTGATATATATCGAATTAGATTTACTGACAGCAAACGTAACTTGGTTTACACCATGAGAGCTAGAATGAGCGTGTGTTCTCACGACAACGGTATTAATCATCCGATCGAGGATGTCCGAATTATTACGAATCGTCGCGAGGTGTTGTGGTATGGTATTCGGTTGCTAAGCCGAGCCCGAACACAATACATTGAAATAATCCAGAATTAATATATAAGGAGCTTCGCTACAATAAAAAAAATTCCAAGAGAATTAGAATTTAGAGAGAAAAAATGCCACACCGCCCAGTAGGGATACGAACCCGGGTCTCTCAGTTCCGCACCAAATTCACTCTTCAAATTCGCCTCACACACTGCCCAACCTCCTTCAGGCATTAAATAATTAGAAGAGAATTAGAATTTAGAGAGAAAAAAATCCCGCACCACCCAGCCATAACAAACTCTTTCTCTCTCTTTCTCTTTACTCCCCTTTGCGTGAGTGACGCAGTGACTATGCTTGACCGCTCGTGACCCAAACTACGCTAAACGGATGCCTATGTATATGTTGTGAAACACGTTAATAGCTGCACGGCGTTGGACCCCTGCCTCGCACTATTACCTTTCTTTTACTTGTAAGTCGACTTTTGACTTGGCTTTAATTACTCTCTACACTCTTAATCAAACGTCTGCATTCTTATTTTTGTTCAGATATCTGTATAAATTACTTCACTCTTGTCAACAAACTAATGTGTACATGTATTCACCCTGTTAGTGCCTACATTAAGCATTCTTACAGCCCTATTGGACTTGATGTTTTGCAGACAGATACACTGGGAAAAAAATTCTAATATCTGAAACATATTTTCTTGAGGGAAGTAAATTATTTTTAATGGCTTCAATCTCAGAATGTGTGCACTTCATGGAACTCGAATAAATTTTCATTCATCACTATCGTTCCGCGTTACGTCATGACTATTTTACATATTGCAATATTGGAAGTGCATAACGAAAACATCATGAAAACAATAAAGACTAGAAGATTGACGATTCTTTTACGCGACTTAAGTAAGTTTATTTGCGACAAAATCATACTTAAGTACAAGAATATTTTAAAACATGAGGTCTTTCTCGGGTCATGTGAGTTGAGATGCCTGAGAGAATTAAGCAATTTTTTTTTTTTTTTTATGCTTATTTTATATCGCTTCGAGTCTGATGAGACTATATGGCGATTGATCAAGACTTTAAAAATGGTTAGATCTCACCATTCTACCCGGCCAGGAATCGAACCTGGAACCTATCCGTTGTGAGGTAACGGCCTTAACCACTACGCCAGGCCACCGGGCAGAATTAAGCAATTGAAGAAAATTTACTTCTCTCAAGAAAATATGTCTCAGATATTGGAAAATGTTTTTCTCAGTGTAGTTTGATAATTAATCAACATTGTCTAAAGAAGGTTAGACGGAGTAACACCGATTCATGTTGACATAAATTGATTCTGTACGGATCTGCAGGAAGTTACTGATGTATCTTGAAATGCGACGAAGTTGTATTGATTTTATTGTATTGGTTCATTAGAATACTCTGGAACTCTTTATTCAACCTCGGAGATACAGAAGATGCGATCGTGTGATCGAACACCAAGTGCAGTGATGTGTGACACGCTCATGCAGACTCAGCAGACACCGCTGGATAGCAGCACCTCTCGATACACCACTTTAGGCAAAACTCTCATTTGGAATAAAGGAGATGATCCTTGTAATTTTGAACCTTTGTGACCTTTGGTCCGAAAAAAACTTACCACCTGTGAGATATACTCTTATATAGCATGATTCTCGCAAGGTATGATCCTTGGAATGCTTGAACGCCGTAAAGTACTCCCATTGCGACATATAACCATCATGAGTCATATCTCGTCAGTGTCAAATAGGGTCGGTGACAAAATCCCCGGGGATAAAATCCCCGAAAAAGTGGCCGATATGTCCGAAGCGCCTCCAGTGGTGAGAACATGAACTAAATCTCTACTTCATTCAATTTTTATCTATTTTTTTATTATTATTATTATTATTTTCTTTGCTTTTAAACCGAATTCGTCACAAGAAGCTTGCGACTGGCCATCGCGCGAGGTTCTTGAGCCTGGTTTGGTTGGTATTATTATATATTCATTTTTTATTTTATTTCATTTTTAGTCACAATAATAGTTTTTATTCATTGATTTATTTATCATTAATTTTTTAATGCGATGACTCACCAGTGGCTAGTGTACCTGCATTATATTCTGACCCTTAAATTTTCTGACCCTTCAACTTTTGAAATATCTTTTTATGAAATAAATATTTCCTTTCATTTTTATTTATAAAATAATAATTTTTTTATATTTTTTTTTCGATGACGCGTTGGTTACTGCAACTAATTACCCAGGGACGTGACCAAAAGTTTTGGGCCCCGTGAACTCTGAAAGATAATTTATTTCTTCCCTTATTTTTCAATTTTGTTCCTCAAGTCTTTCATCGGTGTACGTAGGTACTTCTCCTCCGAAGACAAAATCATTCCAGAAAAGGAGAAATAAATCACGAAACCCATTTATTCATCCATTTGATTTTCTTAAGGGTCGTTGATTAAATCTAGTATCCACTTATTATCCACCCGCCCTCCCACAACATTTTTCAAAGGAAAATGATGGGCGAATAGGGGACAATAATTTCTTGGCTCAAACTGATTGTTCGAAAAAATGAATTTGAGGTTGAAGTTGTGGGTGAAATTGTAGAATCGTAAACGCAAACTATGGGTCAAGCATGAACATCAAACTGAGGATCAAGCATCAAGGTCAAATGAAGAATTCTCAAAAAAAATTAGTTGATAAGGCACGTCCTGTTCATACATTTTTAACCTAGGAAGGTAAAATAAAGGAGTTGTGCCACGTGCACGTGTAATTTATTACGGTGCTAAGCACGTGGATAAGGGTCCTCAATTTTTTTCCCCTTAGGGAGAAAATATGCACCTCCTGCCTTCATCGTGACGAAAAATTCATTATATCAATGTCAAAATGTTAAAAGGAAATCAGAAATTTTTTTTTATCATTTATTTATTTTTAATTATTTCATTTATTTATTTATTTTTTCGGATAAAATCAGCAAATTGGTTGTCTCGCGAAATTTTTCAGAAATATCTGATAATGAACGCGAAATAGAGCTATTGATGTGGGTATCCTCTTTTGTAAATTCACACGTATAAAAGAATTCAGAAGAAAATCCTAGCGCATTCGTTGGAAAAATCTTTAATCTTTCATAGGAATTTTTTTTCCTCAAATTGTTTAGAATGATATGCAATTTTACCGCGCGATTGTGGTTTGGGAAAGCCAATGAATGTAGATCTTTCTACAAAAATTATTATTTTTCTATTTTTTCCATAAACATTTTTGGGCATCAATTTTTCCAAAAATGATTGAAAATTCATGCCCAAGTATTTAAATAGAAGAAATGTAAAGAGTAATATGGAAAAATTTGAATCTATTGACTTTTTGCGAGGAAATCTTTGACAAAAAATGACTCACCCTGAGGCCGTAACTCTTGAGCCGAACTTTTTTTTTCAATCATGAATTTTTTAATTTCGGGTTTTTATGAATGACCAAGAATTGAAAGTACCATTTTTCAATTGTTTCATAAGTTTAAATATTCATTAAAAGTGCCAGTGGCTTAGTAATAATATTTCATGTTGCACTCGAAGTACCTGAAAACAAAAAAGGAAAAATAAGAGGAGATCAGTTGTCTCAAATTCTCCAAAAATCTTCTGGAAATAAGTAGCATTGAGAGGAGGGTCAAAAGACCTTATATATGACGGAATTTTGCGCGTTCATGAAAACGGTTGGATATCTTTCCTAGAATTGATTCATTTAAGTTACAATGGCAATTCCATAATTTTTTTTTCTCCTTCGAATTTTTCTTTACCTCTCAGCTCTTTACCCCATACTCTTTTATGGCGATGAAGATTACAATCAATGAAGTGCTGGGATATCAACTATTATTTGATATTTGATAAATAACTCAACATCGGTTATGAATCACTTTATTTCTATCAACGTCAGGTCGTTTGTCGTGATTAAATGCATGTAGAGAATGAAAAATTTGTGAAAAGTGGTTGCCATGAAAGATCATGATGGAGAGGCTCATGTCCCTATAATCGTAGGATTGGTACTTTGGTACGTATTGAATTATGGGGTAAGTACAGATATTGGACTATTATTATGGTTACGTGAAAATAAACAAAAATCATGCTATGAGAATATTGAAATATTACGTCACGGGTTTCTTGTACATTTTAGACCTCCTCCCTCCCCCTATCATAGATTACGTGAGAAATAAATCATTCAGTTCATACTCATGCGATTTTTACTATCACAGCATTTAGAGTTCCTCTTTGCGAATCTTTGGGATAGTTCCAAGAACTAAAAACAATTTGTCATCATTAGACCAATATTTATACCGAAATGGCCGTCGGTTATGATAATTAGTATTTTTTAATAAATAATCATCCGTAAACGTGAAAAGTCCCATGTCCGCACGCTCGCTTACTTGTCCCCATGCACGTTTGACACATGTCCCTATCCTCGTCTCGTGATTTGAATGATATGGACAGGTTATATCCCAATTAATTACAACGTGAGTACCCTATTTTGTAATAAAACAACATTAAAACATATCTCGAGTCACAAAATTATGTTTTAATTGGACAGCCAAACCCTTTTAATGATTTTTTCATCCATTTAGTTCGTTACCAGTTGACGGTTGGGAAATGAGCATAGGATCAATCCCATTTTTATTGTACCTATTCTTGTAATTGCCGATATTTCAATGAAATATTAAGATACTACTGTATTTACGTATTTTTATTAAATTTTCAACTATCCGAAACCTTAGTCAAGGGATTTTTAATCCTATTTTACTATTATAACTGAGATATCAACATTTCAAAATTTTGAGTTTCTTAACTTGCGGCTTAAGAATTGACTCTGTTGTAGTTAAAACGCCGACCAATTGATGTGAATGGGATTTTACTCCCGTATTTTTCAATAAATCACTTCTCATTGGGGTTTATAACTTTCCTTATCAACTGTAATAATTGCTCTAATCATATCACGTATGAAAACATTCAAAAGAAAGATCTAGAGCTTTCGTTAAGAAATTTTATTGCAATTCTATAAGAATTCTATTGGGGTTTTATTAGAATTCTATTGGAGTTCGATTAAAATTCTATTGAAAAATTCTATTAGTTTTTTGCGTCATTTGTATTGAAGATGATTAATAGAAAAGTAAATAGATTTTGTTTTTCATAGAAATTCCTGGGCGTAAATTTCCTAAGGTTTTTTCGTGGGTTTTATTATGAAAAACAAATGAAAATATAACGGAAAAAACGTAGAAAATTTACGTCCAAGAATTTCTCTAGGAAAAAAATTATATTGAATATTTCCTATAGAAATGGCGCACAAAACAAATAGAATTTTCCCATAGAATCCTAATAGAACTCCAATAGAATGCTAATAGAATTCCATTGGAAATTCAATAGAATTTCTAAGCGAAAACGCTAGGTTTTTCTATTCAATTTTTTCATACGTGATTTCACACTTGATAGATTTTTGGGACTGTAAAAATGACATACGAGAATTCCATCATCTCTGTGAGATTGAAAGATATTCACTGAAAATTTCATCTAAATGTGTTGAACTCGTCGTTTCATGATCTCTTTTAGATTTCTGCCTCTTTATGTGCTTCCCCCAGCTAAAACGGTGAGATGTGGACCAAAAATATATATCACCTTTTTTGTAGACAATTTAATTTCCTTCAAAAAAGTCCGCGAGACCCCTGTTCTACCTTGAATCATTCAATTGCTAGAAGCCGGAGATTACACGCGGATGAAAGAAGGCGTTCCTTGCCGGGGCACAAGTCAATCGTTTACCAATGACAAGAGCTCCTGCGGGTGTCGTATTACATGGCATCGTAAAGTAACACGTAAAATCGGATTCAGTTCATCCTGGTTATTGAGTGTATCATGAGGTGAATTTGAGCAATTTTCTGTACTCGTTAAATTCACGATACAATTTTTCCTTCCTCTCAGTATCCATCGGTGTTTATGTTGTGTGCTAGTGACGAAGGTGACCCGGCCACAAGGCCTGGGGCATCGAGCGAAGAGAAAAAGCCCAAACGCAAATATGGACATCATCCCACACATCAGGATGACGATGGACACAATTACATTCATCGCCGAATATCGAAGAAAACTGGTCTAATGTGAATAGAAAAGATTAGTTTTCAGCATTCGTACCGAAATAACCGGATTTCTGTCATATAATTGCCTAGTGAAAAAATGAAACCGAGAAAAAAAATTGAAAAGCCAAAAACTCCGAGGGGACATGGAACACATAGTTTTTCACTTCTTGTTGAATATCAAAGTATCCCGATAATGAGTGCTTTCCAGGAGAAAAATTCAGACAGAACGAATTTCGTGGACCCGGTCGTTTTTGTTGTTTTTCTTCGCGTGGCGGAGAGGAATTACCGAGTTTATTGTCCGATGAGGGTTTCAAAGATGCTGAGGGTTGAAATGACTGCGAGGGTTCGGGCTATTATGGGAAATTCGTATGCTTGTGGAATCAATCATATTTATCCATGATTTTCCGGTTAATCATTCTCTACTCAATTATCATAGTACATTGAGTATTGTGATTGATTCTGTATTTTATATTTAATAATCTGGGGTAGAGCGGAGCAAAATGAGTCATTTTTTATAGTGAATAATTCGCAATGATTAGATGGATATTCACAGGAACGCTATTTTCTTGGAGTCTAAAATAGAATTCAATCGTTAATTTTAAGGAGAAAGATTTTTGTTTAGTACAGTGTTTTTCTCAACTTCCTGCGATGATATAATTAGTTCATTAATTCCCATATATTTCAACAGTGCAGCTGATTGTAACAAGAAAGGATGCAAGGGTCGAGCTGAAATAAGCCCGGATGGTACGGTCGTGAGGACCAGAGAACATTCGAATTCATGTATCCCAAACAAGGCTAATATCCCGACAAAAGCTTTTAATCGTCGACTGAAGGAGATGGCGGCCATAAACGGTCTAACGACGCGAAAGAGCTTCAATGCAGCGAGACTCGAGTGCATAAAAAAATTGATAATCCAATTCTAATCTGAACAATCCGAGCAAAGAATATGAATTAATAAATTTTGTACTTTCTGGGGTCAAGAATCCCTCTATTCTTGATTCAAGTTGATAATATTCTACAATTCAACTCAGAATATTCCCAATATATCCAGATCCGCATACGATCGACTTAAATAGTAAACCTGCTAGTGCATTCGCTGCCATTTCAATTATATTGAAATTATACTATGAATTGTGCATTCTTCCCGCTCGATTTTTGGATGGATATTCAATAGCAGAAATAGTCAATGGATTTTGATCTTTCTACACATTTTATTCTGTCAAGATTTTTCCTATAGGAATGCTTGGGCATAATGTTTGCTTTTTTTTATTTGTTCATCATTACAAAGTCATAGCAAATGAAACTTGTGAAATCCATACCCTAGAATCTCTATAGCGAAAATCTTGACAGAATTAATTGAATAGAAATATTAAATCTATTAACTTTTTCCCGACAAATATCTATTACAAAAATTAATCGCAAAATTGGTGAATTTTCAATAGAAATCGGCCAAAAACGAGAGGAGCTACTGAAAACATTCCAATAAATCCACAATAAAATAGAAAAAGGAAGCGAAATAGATTATCTAGTGAATGCGCGATGTTTCCTATTGAACTCTCACAGATTCTGTAATTTTCAATACAAAAAATATCATTTTTTAGCTGAATAGAAAATAACAAAACAAGATATCTCAATCAACTCTTAAAATCTTCGTATCAAATATTATATCTATAATCTGAGGACATATCTCTTACGGGAATAATAATAATAATTGAGAGGGTGGTTCTTTTCATCTCTATTTCGAAGGTACCCAAAGGCGACACCTCAATCGTACAACTCCAAGGCAAGGCACCTTCGTCGATGGAAATCCTCCAAAAGTCCTCCCGAACCTAAGGACCTTGGAGAATTTGTCAGTTATTTGAAAGAAGAATGTTGGAAGGCAATGTTGGATTATAATTTCGGGCGATTGGAAGTAGAGTTGGTTGATGGATCAGACGGATCGCAAGCTGCAATTTTTGGAGATCCAGAGTATGTGCGTCGACTCCTGGTGGGAATTGCAGACGGTGTGGGCATGTTCATCGACGGCACCTTCCACTCCGTGCCAGCTCTACCCAATTTGATGCAATTATTGATCGTACATGTGTGTCGCTACAATCACGTACGTAGTTCTCGATCGATATAAATTGGAAAAAATGAGTAAATCTGAGTAAATTTTTCTTTGATTCATGATGAAAAATTTGGTTTTTACCTAAATAATAATTGGATGAATAAGAAAATCGATGAATTGAAAAATTACTCTTCTGTCAATGGAATAATTTTTTCCTCTCAATAACTATTGGGACAAGTATTTCGTCGATGACACGGGGAAAAATACTTATTTTGGACGTAGTAATTCGATTTTTGGATGAAACGATAAAATCGATTTTCTATGAAATTCATGAACTAGAGACCTTGCCCTTTTAGATCCTTCCAATCGCATTTGCATTGATGACTAATCAAACAACAGAGGCATATGTGAGTGTTTAT